ACATGAAGCCTTTGCTTTCTTTTCTCCACTGGCTGCAGCTCTTAAGAACAAGACTTGTGAAAATAATCTCAAGAGGACACAAAGCTCATGCCGGAAGGATTTCAGAACTGTTTTTCTGACCTTATGGCAGAAAAAGCACATCTGGAAACACAGAGGGACCCTCCCACACCCTGTCCAAAGTGCCAAAAACAACTTCCAGAAAAACACTGCAGTTTTTGGTGGTAAAATGTTCTCCTATAACTTCCTCTGACTGCATGCACCGACCTCGCATTCAGCTGTGTTTGCAGAGCTGGTTCCAAACACCCTGACAGGGCAAGCAAACAGCAAACCAGGTCTGCGGCTCGACAGGACACGCGTTTGTACTTCTAGTATCTGTGGCTGCCATTTGATTTCACTCTGAATAGTTAACTAACACCAACATTTTAACTTGTTACAATTAATGTGCTTGGCTTCTAGCTCAAAGATCGAAGGTTCAAGTCCACCCAGGGGCACCTGGAAAGAAAATCCTGATCACCTATTGAAAACCCTGTAGATTGAAGTTCTGCTCTGACACGCATGGAACTGTCATGAGGCAGAGTCAACTCGATGGTAATTGGTTTTGTGGGGATGTCAGAGTCAACTCGATGATAATTGGCTTTGTGGGGATGTTTTGGGTTTTGGTTTTGTTTTGTTTTTTTCTTTTTAAGGCAGAAGTGGAATTGAGGGTTTATCACAAGGAGACTTTAAAGAGTTGACAATTGGTCATGAGGGACTTGATGTGCCTAGCTGTTGGATCACCTCCTTCATCCTGAGTGAGTTTGAAAGCATCTTCTTAGACCATCTGTGAGAGCATAGCCAGCTGCCTAGGTGTGAATTCTAGCTCTGCCCTCAGTTTTCCTAGTCTGTGAAATGGGAGCCTAAGACCAGCCAGGACTCCTAGTGTGGTGTTGTAATGTCAACACTGGCTGCAAATCACAAGGTCAACAGTACAAACCTACCAGCTGCTCCTTGGAAACCCTGTACAGGGTCGCTATAAAGCAGAACTGACTCAACAGCACTTAACAACAACAAGACCAAGTGTTTGCTATGTAACAGTTGCTGGGTAATCAGCATGGACACTTGACTTCCACACTTGTCAAGTGAGGACATGGTCCAGAGAAGGCCAGCTGCCTGTCCAAGGCCAAACCGGCAGGGGAGAGGGTCCTGGGGGCTGACACAGCACACCGGCTGAAGCATAATGGGACCTTTCCTCCAGCACCCCAGGCAGGAAGAGGACAGGCAGGGGCAGGTGAGCCCAAGCCCGAGCTCCACCTCTGTCCAGTGGACCTTGACCAAGTGGGGAAGAGGAGTCAAGGAGGTGCGGGCGAGGCAAGAAGTGTTGGAACCAAAGTTCCAAAGCCTCTCAGTCCATGGACAGAGGACTCCGAAAGTGACCTGACCCTGAAACCCAGGCCCCAAAGAACCTTCAGGCCTACCCTTAGGTCTGGGACCCCCACCCCCACCCCCTAGCCCTGGCTGAACTGACATGATCTGCTTGATCTGTCCTCTGACCCATCCTGAATGGCCGCTGACCACAGACCAGGAGTTCTGCTGACATGAAACCAGAGCTTTTAATCTATAACTACCACATCCTGACCCAGTTGGTGAGTAGACATGGTCACAAGTCTTCAAATGTTCAAAACTTCAAACTGCAATCAGCCCCAGCCCTTCCCCCATCCCACTCCCCACCCCCCTGCATGAATTGGCTGGAAGTCCAACCTTTCTCTTGAGGTCCCTCTTCCCCATATAGCAACCAGGGTTACTAGCCTCCCAGAGTCTAGACTGAGTCCCCACCTTTGGCATTATCATTACAAGCAAGGGCTCTAGAGAGCCAGGTTCAAATCTTGGCTCTGCCTTTTACCAACTTTGTTACTTCACCTTTCAGGACCTCAGTTTCCTCAGCTATAAAATGGGGAAGATAGCGTCTACTCTGTGTGTTCTTTACCAGTTGCCATTCAGTTGACTACTACATGTGGAGACTTCATGTGAGTCAGAGCAGAGCTGTGTGCTCCATGGGGTTTTCAGCGGCTGATTATATGGACGTGGATCGCCAGACCTTCCTTCTGTGGTACCTGTGGTGCTCAGTTTGCACTACCCCGGGGCTCTGTAACCCACAACCCACTGCCACTGAGTCAATTCCAACTCACAGGTTTTCAAGACTGAATTTTTACGAGCAGACAGTCTCATCTTTCTCCCAGAGTGGCTGGTGCATTACCATTAGCAGCACCGCCAGGCTGCTTAGGGACTCTGTGTTGTTAAGTGCTGTTGAATGAATTCCCGGTCACAGAAACCCTATATAGCAGATAGTGTATTCAAGAAGTAGCTGTGGGTTTGAATTACCAACGTCGTGGTTAACAATCCAGTGCTTATCGTACAGCACCACACCTGGACTTCAGGGACGTTGTTAAGTGCAGTCAAGTTGGTTCTGACTCACAGTGACCCTGTATAAGGTTTCCAAGGAGTGGCTAGTGGGTTTCGACAGCCGACCTTGAGGCTAGCAGTCCAGTGCTTATCCTACATCACCACATCAAGGACTCCTTGTTGTTGTTAAGTGCCATTGGGTAGGTTCTGGCTCATAGCAACCTTGTATAGGGTTTCTGAGGAGCAGCTGATAAGTTTGAACCACCAATTTGCGGTTCAAACCGACCTTGAGGTCAAGCGCTTATCCTATGGCACCACACTGTTGTTGTTGTGTGGAACCGGTTCTGACTCATAGCGACCCTGTATAGGGTTTCCAAGGCTGTAGATCTTTACGGGAGCAGAAAGCTTCATCTTTCTCCTGCAGAACAGCTGGTAGTTTCGAACTGCTGACCTTGCGGTTCACAGCCCGATTCGTAACCACTACGCTACCAGAGCTCCTTATGGCACCACACTAGGAGGAATAAATGAATTAATAGGCATAAAGTGCCTGAGGTGCCCCTTGCTCCTCAGATAATTAGTCAGTTCTCCATCCAGAGGACCTGTACCCAGTCAGTCTGACCACAAAGTGTGTCTAAGCCATGGCATATTCATGGTTAACAATCCAGTGCTTACTTCATATGCACGTGAAAGTTGAACAATGAATAAGGAAGATTGTAGAAGAGTTAATGCATTTGAGTTATGGCATTGGAGAAGAATATTAAAAATACCATGGACTACTGGAAGAACAAACCAATCTGTGTTGGAAGAAGTACAGCCAGAATGCTCCGTGGAAGCCAGGATGGCCAGACTTCATCTCTCATACTTCAGACAGGTTATGGAGAAGTACATCATGCTTAGTAAAGTCCAGGGTCAGCAAAAAAGAGGGAGACCTCCAACGAGATGGATTGGCACAATGGCAGCATCAGTGAGCTCAAGTGTAGCAACAATTGTGAGGTTAGCACAGGACTGGGCAGGGTTTGGTTCTGTTGTGCATGACGTTGCTATGAATTGAACTGACCTGACAGTACCTAACAATAACAACAGCCAGCCAGACGTGTTCCCCACTGAGACATCTGGTCACTCCCCCCACCCCCACCCCGTTATACAAGACTTCACTCTGGTTTCCAGTCACCTGAATGGCACCCAGTCCAACTTGTGAGGCCTTCTAGAGACTCAAGGAGCCCCTGAAGGAAGGACCTCAAGGCTGGGTCACTCTCAGCTCTTATTTCTCCCCCTCCCCAAGCCCAGTGTCCTCACACCCTGGGCTTTGAGCCCACCAAAGGAACCAAAGATCCCTTAGCTGGGAAAGGCTCCCCCAGAGCCTTCCTCCTGCCTCAGGGACCCTGCATCTACCTCTTCAGGATTACAGAGCTGCACAACCAACAGGCCAGCCCAGTTACCATCAACGAATGGGAAGTGGTCGGAGGCAGGATGCCTTCAAAAGAGCAACTCTTCAGCTGCTGTCCTGGGACCTGAGGGGAAGCTTGTGTGACCCCAGCCTGGCCTGTGGCCTGGCCTGCCTACTCAGTTAGTTGTGAGAACCTCAGAACTTTCAACAAGCCAATGCCCAGGCCTGTCTGCACCCTAGCATGCTCTGAGCCTCCTCCGAGGTACCCCAGCACATCCAAGTCCTAGCCCAAGGCACCCCAACATCCCCTGAGCCCTCACCTGTGAACTTCCACATGGGACTGGGCACATGAGCCTGCTCTGAGCGCAGAGGACAGGGGGCAGACACCTGAGCAAGCTGTCCCTCAGCCCTCACTGGGGGCACCCCTAGAACACCAGACCCCTCAAATTGCACATTACTTTTCTCTTGGGGACAAGAGGATCTCTCCTAGTGCATTCCACTCAAAGAGGGGTCAGCTCTCTCTCTCTCTCTCTCTCTCCAGAAACCCCCTCAAATTCAGCACACTTAAGATCCCTTTCCTCATGGGGCCTCTGTTTGGAGTCTTGGTTGGACAGACACTCCAGCAGGGGGGCTTCTAGCTTGGGAATCCAGTCAGGACCAGGACACCATCTTGCCCAACTTCCCACTAGCTCTGGGTACCTGGGAAGTCCAGTCCCCTTTCTGGGCCTTGGTTTCCTTATCTGTAAAATGAGGGCATTGAATGAGGGGATTCCTGGAGCTTCCTGAGCAACTCACAGCTTGGTTTTTCTGAGCCTTCGTTTATGTCTCCTATTCCAATGTGGCGCTGTAGGATCAGTACTGGACTGCAAACCACAAGGTTAGCAGTTGAAAGCCATCAGTTGCTCCTTGGAAACTCCACACAGGGTAGCTATGAGTCAGAATTGACGCGATGGCACTTAACAACAGTCCTGCTCAACAGCTTGCAATAGCTCCCTTCTGCCCTGGAAATCAACACTACTTCCTTAGTCCTGATAAGAAGGATCCCCCAGTAGACACCCCGTGCCCTGGCCCACTCCACCCCCAACAAAGAGTCTCTGACCCCCTCTGACTGCTGCCTGTGACTGGTCATTCCTGCCGTGCAGATCGGCCCCTTAGTGACCACAGCATGGCTTTCCTCTCACCATTTATTGGTTCTTAGGGGGCAGCCCCTCCCCAACTGGAGGCTAAGAGGGTCTCATATCTTCTGGCCTCCGAAGATAGGTCGATTCACGTGCTCAGGGGAGGCCAGGAAGGCCTTGAGCTTGGGCCGGGCACTGAGCCGAGCTACGTAGGCCGAGAGCAGGGGCAGGGTGTCCAGGCAGCCAGGGACCAGGACCTGGTGTGCCATGAGGAAGTCCAGCAGATTGTAGTCAGCAAAGGAGATCTGTGGGGCAGAGGTGGACGGGGCTTCAGTGGGTGGGAAAGAGTGGGGGCTGCTCACTCAATGGTGTAACTAGGACCTCCCCCCCCCCAATTCCGTGTACCTCCTCCCCTCCCAGACCAAACAGAATTCTTGGTAATGGTTACTATCAATTATAATCATGGTTAATATGTGATCCATGCTGTTAATTGTTTGAATGTAACATTTCTTAGATTATATGAATGCAAACAACATCGTTCTGTAAAATTGTCTACACTGAATTAACAACATGACTAGCTACAATAGTATCAGTAACTAAGAAGTAGCCCATTTTAATTTTTCTTCTTTTCCTTTAATGACTACCTCGTTCTCAAAAAAGTTATCATTACAGGTTTACACATAGTAATCATTCAAATAGTGTCGCTAAAGCACCAGAAAATTTGACAACATTTTGACTATAAAAAACATGGCTCAAGCAATTCAAGTGTCTTTGTAACTGGGTAATAATGCCAGCTCTGGCTGGAACACATTGTTGTTGTTGTTAAGTGCCATCAAGTCGGTTCCAACTCATAGAGACCCTCTATAGGGTTTCTGAGGAGCAGCTGGTAAGCTTGAACCACTGAGCTTGCAGTTCAAACTGACCTTGCAGTCCAGCACCTTAACCCACAGCACCATACCGGGACTCCGTTAGAAGGTTCAAAAAGCAAATTAGCACAGAATTTTAGCTTTGTAGGTATAGAGATACATGTAAGCTGGGCTTATTAAAATGTTTTTGTTATTATAACTGAGCTACAGTGCTATTTTTATAAAACACAATAAATTTCTGCTGAAACACGCAAACAATTGATACGCAGTCATTTTGGTGTCAATACCATGTCACAGAAGGAATTCTAGTGGTGTATTGGGTTATGTCTTGGACTGCTAACCACAAGGTCAGCGGTTCAAATCCACTAGCTGCTCCTAGGTAGAAAGATGAGGCTTCCTGCTCCTGTAAAGATTTACAGCCTTGGAAACATTCTACAGGGTCGCTATGGATCCAACCCAACAGCACACAACCACCACCATCCTGTCATAGACCAAATTGTGTCCCCCTCACAACATGTGTCAACTTGGCTGAATCATGAATCTCAGTGGTTAGGCAGTTACGTAATGATGTTGTATGGAAGTTATGGGATGATTCTTCATGATATCATCTGATGTGATAAATCAATAAGAAGATTAAGTGTGGGCTGTTGTTAAGGGCCGACAAGTTGGTTCCAACTCACAGTGACCCTGTATAGGGTTTCTGAGGAGTGGGCTTGAACTGCCAACCTTGTGGTTAGCAGTCCAGGGCCGATCCACACCAAGACTCCAAGAGTAGGTTGCCAAGCCCTCAATCCCATCTCAACCCTGATAAGATAGATACAAGGGAGTTTCCCATGGGTGTGGCCTGCAATATCTTTTACATTACAAAGATAAAAAGAGAGACAAGTGAGCAGAGAAAGGGGGACCTATTACCACCAAGAAAGAAGAACCAGGAGCAGAATGCATCTTTTGGACTCGGGGGCCCCGCACTGTGAAGTTCCTAGATCCGGGAGAAGACTGATGCTGAGACACATGGAGATCTCCAAGGGATGCTGGGCCTACAGATGCTAAAAAGAGACACAGCCAACAAAGCGAGAAAGTCTTCTCCAGAGCTGGCACTCTGATTTTGGACTGCTAGCCCCCAATAATAACATGAGAGAATAAATGCGTTTGTCAAAGCCACTCCCTCAGGGTATTTTCCTTATCGCAGCACGAGATTTCCAAAACACCCCCCATGACAGTCCACACCTTCTTGTGACAACACTGGTTCCACTGAACAGGGCATGACCCTACTGTGGGTTCAGTTTGTCCTTCTGATAAATGGACCTACTTGAGCATTATGCTCTTTTCAGATCTATATGGCGTCAAAGAGGGGTGCTGGTAGTGCACCGATTAAATTGCTCAGCTGCTAACTGAAAGATTGGCCCTTCAAGCCGGCTAGCTCTGCAGACTAAAGATGTGGCAGTCTGCTTCTGTAAAGACTCCCAGCCTCAGAAACCCTATGGGACAGTTCTACTTCATTCTCTAGGGTCGCTATGGGTCGCGATCGACTTGATGGCATCAAACTGACGACGACAACAACAATTTGAAGGATGAGATGGGAAGCCTAAGGGGCAGTGAGTTTATATCCACGGCAGAAGGAGCAACTCAGAAAAGAAGGTAAAATGGTTGTCCAACTTGAAGGTTGAAATCATGCCGTTTAGACACTGTTGGATTGTTTGTGTTTTGTTGTATGTATGCTCAACAACAAACTAAGTGTTAAAAATTTTTTTTAATTTTAAAACTAAAATTTAAAAAACAAACAAAGAGAAGGGCCTGAAATGGGATGGGAGGCTGGCTCAGCGCTCACCTGATCGCCCACGATGAAGGTCTGGCCCCCATGGTTCTGGGCCAGCAGGGTCTCAAAGGGCTTCAGGTGATCAGGCAGCTCCTGAATGTACTGGGCCTTGCTCTCCTCCTGCAGACAGCAAGGCAGGCTGTGGTGCAGCGTGACTGGCCGGGCCATCCCACCACCCTGTGAACCCCACCACTGCTCACACAGTTGTGGTGGATGAGGTGGCTACAGCGCCGGCGCAGGTCCTCCACACCGTCATTGACCATGTCCACCATTGCTGCCGCTAGGGTGTCTTTGCCGTACAGCCCTGATCGGCAGCCAGGTAATGAGCTCAGGTTTTGCTGGTCAGTTCCCCTACACGCCCTCTCCCCCCGCAAGTCCCCAGGCCTCAGCAGCCCTGCCTCGGGCCTGGGTACTAGACCCTCCCTGGACTCTGGCCTTAAAAAGCCCACTCCAGCCTACTGCTGCTCCAGTTATATAGAGGATAAGGGGCTACAGGGCTAAGGGGACATGCCACTACACCTCACCCAACTCCACCATTGGATCCCTGCATTGCAGAAGCACCTGCCAAATTGCCCAAGCCCAGTCCCCTGGGTCTCTCTTCCTGAGGGTGGGCCAAGCTTCTGGGAGGTGCCTTCCAGACCCAGGAGCAGCTGTGGGGGCCTGGATAGACTTGGATGGGTACACTGGTAAGTCCATAGAGAGGGAGGAGGGCAGGAAGGAGTTTGGGGGTGGTGTGGGAGAGGAAGCAGCAGGTCGAGGCTAAGGTCTCGGCCTGGTCTCTCACCCAGAATCCTGCGGATATGAGGACAAGTGCTTTCCTCTGCTCCTCCTAGGACTCGGGGCTCTCAGGCCCCTCACACTGGCCAAAGAGGAGCCAGCCATTGAAACCTGTCTACAGGCCAGCTCCCTGAGGGACTGTGGGCTTTCCAGCCGTGATGGGACCAGAGCGGGAGGGACAAGAAGAGAGGTCTACTTGGTAGCATAGTCCAACAGCACACTTATGTGACCTCATCTAATCTGCCATCTGGGAAATGGGAACAGGGAACCCATCTGGTGGGGGGCTGCCCCTGAGCCACGAAGCTCTTGCTCAGGATGGACAGCCGCCTCTGAACCTCCGGTAGCTCCCACCTACCTTTTCCCTGGACTACCTGCCTGCCCTCCAGCCTGCAGTGCTTGTCCGGCCCAGGACACTGGCCTGCGCTGCCCAAGAGACTCACCGAAGGAGCGGCCCAGATGCCGCAGGATGGCATTGGACTGGTACAGAGTGAGGTCTCCATCCTGGAACTTGGGGAGCTGCCCATACAGCTGGGGGGGACAATGGCTTGGTAAGAGGCATGGAGCTCAGCTACCCTTTCCCAGTGGCAGCCCCTCTCCCCCTGGGCCCATCCCTGTCCCCCTCGGACACTTACACAGGAGGCCTTGAGCTGGCCCTGCATCCAGGTCTCCTTGGTCACCACCTCCTCCTTCCAGCTCTGGCCCTGGTCAGCCAGCAACATGCGCATGGCCTCGCAGCGCCCTGGAGCACAAGGGGTGTGGGGTGGGGCACCATCTCACAGCACACAGGGAGGGGGCATGCCTGGGATGGGGTTGGACACTCCAGCCTTTGGGAGCCTCTGGACAGGGCCTGGGGAAGGAGGCTCGGTGGGCTCGGATCCAGAGGGAGGGATAAAGGGGCCTGGAGTCTCCCTGGGCTGCAGTCACCCAACCCCAGCCATCCTGGTGAGGGGAAAGACACAGAGGAGTAGGGAGGGGGAGAAACCCCAGCTTTGCATCTCCCCAGAGAGGAGCCAGGATCAAGAGGAGAGAGATAGCCTTGAGGTATCCTGGGAAGGAGACAGAGAAAGTGTGGAGTCCCACACACACACCTTCACCCCACAGTGCCTTTGAGATGGGGAAGGGGCAGAGCCAGAAGGATAGATAGGGTTGAGAGTTCTGTGGCCCTGAAGGCTACAGTCCCAAGTCCAGTCCTGGCTCTGGGCCTGAGTGACCCTGAGCTGGGGGGCTGGGGTGGGGGGAACCCTGCCATCTCCCTCTTCCTCCTAAAGGGCTAAGGCTCACCTCGAGTTGGGAAGTAGACAATGGTGTATGGAGGCACTAGAAGAGACACAGAGACCTATGAAGTCCCAGCCCAGGCAGGACCCAGGGGCAACTCTGGGACTCAGCCTGCACCACAACCACCACCACCCCCCGACACACACACACTGAGTCCCACGGTACTCACTGGCGGTCAGTCGGTGAAGTGAAGTGCAGCAGGAAGTGAGGCAGAGCCAGGCCCTTATAGTTACTACTCCACCCCAACTCATCCGCCCACCCCAGGAATGTGGCAGGTCCTGGGCTAAGCCAGAGACTCTGGGTGTAGTGGGGACAGAGTACAAGGGTGGAACCAGGCTTCAGGCAGTGGATTTTGCAAGAAACACCCGCACTTAACATCATCCACTCCACCCCCTTACACACATAGTCAGAACCAGGCACTTGCTCAAAGCTGGGTCCCCGGCACCAGCATATATACAGTTGGTGCTCAACAAATGCTCATTAAATGAATGAAAGTCATTTCAATAAACAGGCATATTCCTTTACAAACCATCTCTCAGTGATGATAATGTTGTTGTTGTTAGATGCCATCAAGTCGGCACCGACTCATAGCGACCCTATGCACAGCAGAATGAAACAATGTCTGATCCTGGGCCAACCTCACTACTGTTGCCACGCTTCAGTCCATCAAGGATGCCACCTGGCCAATCCATCTCCTTGAGGGTCTTCCTATAGCAAATCCTAAATGACCGGGACTACATTGGAGACTTTACATGTGTTATAGAAATACTATAGTGGCCCGGTGGGTTAATGTGCTGGACTGCTAAAGAATAAAGATATGACTTTGAGGAGTAAGGTGAGCCTGACCATGGTGTTTTCAATCACTTGCACAATGTGTGTGCAAGTTAGACAGTGGATAAGGAAGACCAGAGGAGAACTGATGTATTTGAATTACAGTGCAGGTGAAGAGTACAGGAAACACCATGGGCTGCCTGAAGAGCAAGGAAATCTGGGTTGGAAGAAGTACAGCTGGAATGTTCCTTAGAGGCCAGGAGGTTGACACTTTCTCCCTCAAACATTGGACATACTATCAGGCGGGACCAGTCCCTGGAGAAGGAAATCGTGCTTAGAAAAGTGGAGAGTCAGTGAAAAAGAGGAAGGCCCCCATTTAGATCCACTCAATAATACAACAATTGTGAGGATGGCGCAGGGCTAGGATGCGTTTCGTTTTGTGGTGCCGAGGGTCTCTGCAAGTTAGAACCAACTCGATGGCACCTAACAACGGCAACGTCCCTTCTCCAAGAAATCCTGATGGCACAACAATCAAGCATTCGACTGCTAACTGAAAGGTGGCTAGTTTGTACCTACCCAGTGGCTGGGGGTGGGTGGGGGGAGAAAGGAGGGAGAAAAGCATGTGGAGCTGTCTTGAAAATATTGTAACCTTGTTTAGGGCCGATCTAGTCTGTTCCATGAGTCTCTATGAGCCGGAATTATTTCCAGAGTGAACAAAGTAATGACAACTCCTCTTTCCTGAGGCTTTCTACCCCACGTGCCCAGCAGATTCCAGTACCGGGGACACTCCAGTACATGCTGACTCCTGCCAGGGCTGCCCCTCACTCCCTCAGAGCTAGCTGTGTCCCAGTCAACAATGCCTAGCACCTTGCCCCTCTTCTTCCAGGAAGCCTTCATGAAGCTCCACCAGTCTTGGGAGCTGCTTGGGGGCCTGTTCCCACTTAGATGTCCTGTGAATGGGTCCTTTCCTCAGGTCAGAGCTGTCTACAGAAGAAATACATGAATGGTCGGCCACTAGCTCAGATGGCAGGCATCTGATGGGATCTGGTTCCCTGGGACAAAGGCCGGTGCAGGGGGGCAGGTGAATAAATCATGAGGGGCCTGGAGCGGGGCCGGAGCAGGACAGCTGACCTCATTCTGGCAGGTGAGGAGCAGGTGGCCGACACGGTGAGTGGGCTGGAGAAGCCGGAGACTAGAAGTCAGCAGGGTCCCAGAGTGGGTGCTAGTAGGAAGTGGAAGGTGGGAGGCCCTGGGGCTCTAAGGGGGCAAGGAGGAGGGTTTAGAAGCACATGGATGTGTGTGTGTGGGGGTGGGGGCGGTGAATAGGAGAAACAAGGATGGACAGACAGCCGTGAGAAAAAGTCTCAGGGCAACAGAGAGAGGGTCCAAGTGGGTCAGAGACCCACAAAGACACTATTGAATGGAACACAGACAGCGGCAGCAGGAACAGAGGCTGTGGAGAGGGAACCACAAGATGTATGAAGCCACTGCATAAGACAGGCACAAAGGCCTCCATGGAGCAGAGAGGGTATGGTGGGGGGGCAAAGTGCAAGGCAGAAACCAAGAGCAGGGAAGGGTGCGGGCAAAGCCAGTGAGGTGGAGATGGCAGGGCTTGGGAAGCAGCAAGGCTGCACAGGCGAGCAAGGGGCCAGGAGTCTAACAAGCCTTATCAGTGTCCCCTCAGGAGGAGTCTGGGTCTGGAGGGAGGAGCAAGCGCCCAGGGTTGGAAGGGCTGTGCATGGGACAGTGGGCACCAGAAAGGATTTGGGACTTTGGCGGGATGGATCTATGGGTCTCATGGGTTCTTGGAGGGGAAACAGGAAGGAGAGCAGCAGGGGGTCTCAGGAATATACCCTTAGCTGCCCCCTAAACCACCCTCCCACAGGATCCAGGAGATCAGACCTGGGCTACACCCCCCCACTAACAGGAGGTGCCAAGTCTTGCTCCCCATGGCCCTGCCACAAGGCCCAGCCAACAGCAGCCTTCCCGTGGGGGGCACCAGCCCCTTGGAGGGTACCCCAGGGCCCAGCCGCACCCTGGACAGCCCAGAGGTCAGCAGGCGACATGCACTTCTCCGAGAGCTTGAGATGCAAGTACAGGCGGCTTATGGACAGGTAAAGAGGGCTGGGTGGACCGTCCTCAACAGTGGGGCTCTGAAAATGCAGACCCCACACCCTCACTGGGAGCCGTCACAGAGGGGGATCCCCAGATGCGTGTTGAAGGAGAGGTCAGTTGGTAAGTCTGCAGAAATGAGGTCCACATCATCGAGCCCTTCTGCCTCCCATAGGCGACACCAAAGTCAGCTCCCTCCAGCTCCCCACCAAGGACGCATGGTGTTGGAGGGGGAGGTCTGCTAGTAAGGCAGGATTAAAGTCATAGGTCTTCCAAGGCTGTAAATTTTTACAAAAGCAGACTGTCTCATCAGAGCAGTTGGTGGGTTTGAACCACTGACCTTTTGGTTAGCAACACAATGCTTAACCCACTACGCCACCAGGCTCCTTCATGTAGGACTGCCAAAAGCTGGGAAGCCCTGTGAGGTGGGGAGCCTGGGGCAGAGCCAGCGTGCTGGCAGAGAGGCCGAGGCAATGGGAGGAGGTTCTGCTGTGTTGATATCACCCAGTATAGCCTGCCACTTCCAGGGGAGGGAGACCCCAGCCCTCCCCAGCACACCAGGCTCCCAGGTCCCTGGCCCTGCTTCTGAAGATGAAAAACTCTCCTGATATAGAGAAATTAGGAGGGGGCTAGGGTCCAAGGTAGATGGATGCTGAAGAGAGGTATCTGGAAAACCCCCAGGAGCAAGCGAAGGGAACCTGTGTCTTCCTGGTGGCCTCGGGCTCCAAGAGGTTCCCCTTGCCAGCAAAGATGTTCAGAGATTATCCCAAATTAGGGCCCAAACCCCCTTGCCCAGGGCTGCCTCCTGCCCACCCACCCCAAGTCTTCCCCACAAAACCCTTACAGACCTCCAGGTTCTCAGAGGGAAGGGCTGGGGCCCAAGGGAGCTGCCCAGGCCACCTTAGGACTCCTAGCCTGGCATGGTGCAGGGGCCCATGGGAAACTGTGCCAAAAGACCCAGGTGCCAGGGACTTAGGGGAGAGGCCAGGGCAGGGAGGCTGGCTGAACCAGGACAGGGAAAGTGGGTGGACAGACGGGAAGGAGGGGCTACCAGAAGCCCTCCCTGACCTGACCCCGGCTTACCAGGTTTCCAGCTGCCCATTCAGCCACGCAGCCCTCCTGAGAGCCCTTGTATTTTGCTAGTCAGTCTTGGCCAGGGGAACACAGTGCCTGACCTTGTTGTCTTTCTGTTGCTGAATGTCTGTGGTCCAGTACTTTGCCTAATTGAACAGCCAGGAAGTGAAGGCCCCTTATGACCTGTATCCCCACCATCACTGGGCAGGAACACTGGGGTGGAGGACCTCAGAGTTCATGACTGATTCTGTGGCAGGACCTAAGACAGCGGCCCTGCTCTCCCCTAGGGGCCTCCCACTGCAGCCCCAGCCCCAAAGACCAGAGGGGCCCTGGGCCAGGGGTCCAGGGCTACTCGGTGCTGAGCAGTCGGCTGGGGCCTGCCTGCATCTTCCTTAGGCCCAGCATTGCTACCACCCAGCTTGTACGTAAGGCCGCAGCGGCTGCCCATCCTGCAACCCTCACGCTGCCTCCTCTCCTTGAGCAAGGCTAGAGACCCGAGCGGAAACTTCACAGCAAGACTCACATCTCCAGGGCTGGGGGAAAGACAGGCCCCAAATGGAAATGAGGTCAAATATGAGGAGAAGGTACTAGAATAGAGAGGTCTAGAGCGACGTGTCAGAAAGAGCCAATCAGGGAATGGGGAACACCTAGAGTGACGGGGTACAGGGGCAGCCCCAAGGAGAGGATGGGACACCAGGCCAGGTGGGAGCTGGGTCTGAGCAGTGTTAGACACACACAGGCCTTGTGTGTGCATGTATGTGAGGCTGAATGGGGAGCCCCAAGAAGCCAGAAGGAAGGGGTGCATGTGTCTGGGTGGTTCCGAGAATGCCTAACCCCTCTATGCCCTCTCAGGACCGGGAGCTGCGACCAGAGGAGATTGAAGGTAAAAGGTCTGAGTTCCCGGGAGGGCTGGGCATAGGATGGGAGGAGGGCACAGGGCTGCAGGGAGCATTGAGGTGAGGGACAGAGGGCCTTAGCAGTCTCTGGGTGGAACTGGAGGCAAGATAGAGGCTACAAAGACCTGTGATGGAAGGTGGGGACAAGATAAAAAAGGTAGGGGCTGACAGAGTCCCCTACCTGCCAGCTCCTTGGTCTCATTCTGGTGCGGGTCCTGGGGCCCTTTGATATTTGTTCATTCAGCTAACATTCCTTGGGCACCCACCATGTGCCTGCCCAGTGGCAAGCCCCGGAAAACAGCTAATGGACAAATATAACTAGTCCTCGAGACATGCAACTTACAAATACAGAAAACAATGACCAATGGTGCGAGTGTGCTGAAGAAAAGCAAGAGAGGAGCTGTTGTTAAGTACCGTGGAGTCGGTTCCAACTCATAGTGACCCTGCACAGGGTTTCCGAGGCTGTGAATCTTTATAGGAGCAGAAAGCCTCATCTTTCTCCCGCGGAACAGCTGGTAGTTTTGAACTGCCGACCTTGAGGTTAGCAGCCAGATTTGTAACCATTACGCTACCAGAGCCCTTAGAAAGAGGCTGGAGAGGAGCAGGTTCAGAGGGACAGATTCCCAGAATAGGACCAAAGAGGAGGGGAGAATGTTCCAGAATGTGAGGTCCACATAAATCCACTGCCATCAAGTCTATTCCGACTCATAGTGACCCGAGAGGACAGAGTAGAACTGTTCCTTAGCGTTCCCGAGGCTGTAAATCTTTACAGGAGTAGACAGACTCATTGCTCTCCCTCAGGGTGAGTGGTGGGTTTGAACCAACAATTTTGTAGTTAGCAGCCCAACGTTTAACCCAGGACTCCTTTGAACTCCATGAGGGGAGATTGATTTCTCTTTTCTTTATTTGTTGGTGAATCCCCATTGCCTAAAGCAGAGCTTGGCACTAAGTGGTGGTGGTAGTAGTTATGTGCTGCCGAGTCTGCGTATAGCAACCCTGTATAGGATTTCCAACACTGTAAATCTTTACTGGCACAGAAAGTCCTATCCTTCTCTTGCTGAGTGGGATTCCCACACATAACCCACTACACCACCAGGGTGCCTAAAATACTTGCTGAAAGAACAAATGGAAGGGAACAGCATGTGCAAAGGCCCTGAGGCACCAAAGAGAAACTGATGCTTAGGAGGAAGTGATGGGACCAAGGGGAGATGGATGTCCCAGACCGGGGGGTCTGGGGAGACATGGGAAAGGACTAACCGTGCCCTGCCCAGCAGAGCTGCAGATCGCCTTCCAGGAGTTTGATCGTGACCAGGATGGCTACATCGGCTACCGGGAGCTGGGAGCCTGCATGCGGACCCTGGGCTATATGCCCACAGAGATGGAACTCATTGAGATTTCGCAGCAAATAAGTATGTGCCTATGCCCACCCCACCTCCCAGGGCCAGGCTATGGGCAGGGGCAGGGAAGTTGGCAGGCAAGCACACAGGGTGCCTGAATATCATTCTCCAGGCAAGATCTCTGCCTCCCAAGCATCTCACCATCCTGTAAGATGGGTGAGCACCATTATCCCCATTTCACAAATGAGGAAACTGAGATTGACAGATTCTGTGATTTGCCTAAGATCACACAGCAAGAGACTATTGGGATCAGAATTCGAATTTCAGTTTAAACTCTTCAGGAAATTTACTAAAACCTAACGAAAGGTCCAAGGAAGTTTCAAGAGAATGGCTTTCCTATTATCTTTAGCCAAATCTGTCCTTTGCTTGGGCCATTCCTCCCCAATAGGAGACACAAGCAACCAAGACTTTAGAGCTCAAAGGGAGGCAGGGGCCCAGTTAGTAGGCGGGTGGGCCATAGGCAGGAAAGGGAGGGATGTAAACACTCCGCTCTCTGATGGGTGCATCCCCAGGTGGCGGGAAGGTGGACTTTGAGGACTTCCTGGAGCTGATGGGCCCCAAACTGTTGGCAGAAACGGCAGACATGATTGGTGTCAGGGAGCTCCGGGATGCCTTCTGGGAGGTATGGCCGCTAGCGCAGGAGGGAGGGCGGGGCTTGTGTCTGCTGAATGAATGAATGAATGAATGAATGAATGACGCGGTCTGTGTGCCAACGCCACGCCCTACGCCTCCGCAGTTTGACACCAACAGGGATGGCCGCATCAGCTTGAGCGAGCTTCGTGCGGCGCTCAAAGGCCTGCTGGGAGAGCGTCTCTGCCAGCGGGAGGTGGACGAGATCCTCCAAGACATGGACCTCAACGGGGACGGCCTGGTCGACTTTGAAGGTACTGCTGACTGCCCTGATTGCCACCCACCCAGGAAGGGATCTTATGGACTGCTCCCTGTGTGTAGGCGTGTCTGAGCACTGCAGGCTTCTTTCCCAGTGAATCATTACACGAACCCAGGTGGAAGCAACCATTCTCTCCATATTCAGAAGAAGAAACTAAGTTCTCAGGAGAGCTTAGGTCCTTGACCAAGGTCATACCACAAAAGGAAGTGGATAGCGCCAAAATTTGAATCTGGGATGCCTGATTCAGAATCTAGGTCTTTTTCTCAGCTGCATGCCTATAAAGGGAAAACAAGGATTACATGATAACATGAAATCAAGAAAAATTAGTTCATAGAAATGCATGCCTTGATGTAGGCCCTGAAGTTGCACCTGAGCTCCCTAAGGGTCAAAGCAAAGAGGAAAACAAGTTCAAGGTTTTTTGTGTGCTTAAGACCTAAAGACCACCTTTATGGTCCCAAGGCATATTCTCTTAACAGACCCAGGGGACTCCCTGGAAAGTCCTCCCCTCGGCCTAGTGGTGCTCAGAGAGTAGACCCAAAGTCTTGGTTTTGTCCTGGCAGAGTTTGTACGGATGATGTCTCGTTGAGCTTGGATAGAAGCTGGCAGTTGCAGTGAGGACCACAACTGATGTCCATGGGAACACTTCTGAAAGCCCAAGACCTGAAGCTTGGACCCTCCTTTCCTCCCTACCCCACCAGTGTGCAATACCTCTACATACCTCACCTACCCCACCCCTCCACCAGAGCCCCTCTGTTTCCCTGAAATAAAGCATCTTCAAACCTGGGAAGATGGCTGGCTTGCAATTCTCAATTGCTTACCCTGGAGACCTCAATATTTGACCCCTAAAAGATCCAAGGCCTGAATTTGTCCCCTTGGGCCATAGCCAGTTAGTTGCTGTCAAGTCAATGCTGACTCATGGCCACCCCATGTGTGTCTGAGTAGAACTGTGCTCCATAGGCTGACTTTTTTAGAAATAGATTCCCAGGCCTTTTTCCCAAGGTGAACTTGGCAGTCTAGCACCTTAGCTCTTTATACCACCCAGAGATTCCCCTTGGGCTAATTGTCCCCTGGAGCAGGCAGGAACCTTCTTCCCTTCTTCCCTTTTGGATCCTGGGCTCCGCTCAGAGCAAAAATCCAAAAGGAGACAGCCCAGCCTGCTTTTCCCAGGATTCAGGTGTGTGCTGGGCTCCATGTCTCCCGCCCCTTAGCTAGTGAGTGGCTCCTACCAGATCAAATATGATGTTAAAGAGTGAGAAAGAGCTTTAGCGCATTTACTCTGGCAGCAGTCTTGGGGGTCAGCCACTTGGAACTGCCTTCAAGCAAGAACTTGCTGTTCAGTGGGTTGGTGGGGAGGGAGTGAGTATACAGGTAGCTGATGGCCCTAGGGCTTTGGACCAATGTCACATCTTCCCTGAGCCTCCAGCTACCAGCTGAGTAAGGTGGGAAGATTGGGACCTGGGCAATGCTGGTCAGTACTCCCTGGATACTCTGTGGTTCCCTTTAAATTAGCCAAGATTATCTGCTCCATCTCCTGGTCAGAGGCTCCCCTGGCCCACCGTGTCCCCTCACACTTGATCTTTCTTTAGTGTCTGCTTCCTGCCTTCAAGTCTTCTTAGCCCCATTTTATGGATTGAGCCAACCCAGACCCCATGGTCTATGTGACTTGCACACACATCATCACCATATCCTTGCCAGATTGTTTTACCTGAAACTCCATGCCACGATTGCCCTTCACCCTCAGACAAAAGCCAGGTCCCTGAGGTCTCTGGGAGGAGAAGGGACTCACATGAAGTCACATGAGTTGGATGACCCTTAGGTAGGATTGCACTCAAACCCCAGGGACTCGAAAACCACAGGGCAACCAGGGTGGACAGGGACAGGCAGGTCCAATCTGCACAGGTAGGAGGAAGAGCCCTGATGTCGTGCTTCAGAAGTGGAAGGGTACTTCCAGCATCCATGTCTGGTCCTCACTATTGCTCCTGCCAACTAGCTGGCCCTGGGATGGAAGAGGCAGGCAGCCACTCATGGTGTTTGCCCGGCCCAGAGCTTAGATGCCAAGATGCCACGGCTGGCTACAGCAGCTTCAGCACCACTACCTGAGAGATTTTCAATTAGTCCTTAAACCTCAATTAGGAGATTTTTTCTTGCGGATCTGGCAGACCCTAGGGATGGCTTTGTTTTCCCCAGTCTGGCAGCTTCTCTGGAAACCACAGCTCACCCTCCCTCCATGGCGGGCACAGATGGCATTTCTGCCTGTGAAGAAATCTGCCCCCCTCTGCTACCGATGTGTGTGGTGGGGGGTGATGGTTATGTACCAGGAGTAGACCAGACCCAGCTCAGGATCAGCTTCCTCCACCTGCCCCCAGCCTGAGAGGCTCTGTTGGGGGTCAGGAGGCAAGATGGTCTTGATCAGCTGCCGTGTGTCTGCTGGCATCTGCAGTGCCCTCAGCTTCTCCACATATTTTCCCAGCCCAAAAGTTCTCCTGACCTAGAGGTGCCAGCAAGGAGCAGGGTCAGGGAGAAAAGAGCAGGTGGTGGAGTGGGGAATTGAGAGCCCTTCCCTAACTGAGGAGCCTGGGTGCTTCAGTGGTTAAGCAACCAGCTGCTAACAGGAAGCTCAGCAGTTCAAACCCACCAGCTGCTCCTTGGAAACCCTATACAGGGTCGCTATGAGTTAAAACCGGCTGACAGCACTTAACAGCAATTCAAAGATCCTCTGTTTTCCCCTAATGCTTCCCTGTTTCTGGCCTAGGGCCCCACTTTACATTATAACTACGTAGGCTCCTCTTGGTTCAACAGGTTCTTATTGTCCTGGGTTTTCCTGACCTTCACAGTTTTGAGATGTGCTTGTCAGGGATTCTGTCGAATAGTCCTAAATCAAAATGCATTTGTTTTTCTGGTGATTAGATAGAGGGTAATGTGTTTTGGGGAGGAAGACCCCAGGCATCAGATCTCCTTCTCACCATAGCTTATCAAAGGTGGTGGTATCCGTTGTGTACCATCGAGACAGTTCCAACTCATAGTGATGCTGTTTAGAGTTTCTGAGGCTGCAGATCTTTACAGGAACAGAAAGCTTCATCTTTCTCCCAGGGAGCAGCTGGTACATTCAAACTGCTGACCTTTCGGTTAGCAGCACAGTTCATAATCCACTATGCTACCTGAGCCCCTTCTCGTGAAAGGTAGACATATGTTGTCAATGTGAATTACCACTGTTGATGTTAACCTTGTTAACATGGCTGAGGAAGTGTTGGTTGGGTCATGTTGTTCATGTTCCCTTTTCAGACGGTCTTCTTTGGACGAAAATCACTGTGCACAGCCCACATGGAAGGAAGGAGGAGTTAGTCTCTTAGTCTGGGTTCTCTAGTAGGGCACAACCGGTGGTTGTAAATATGTATATATGGAAAATTTACTTCAAGGAAATAGCTCACACTTTGTGAGGAAATGACTATCACACATGTAGGGATTGGCAAGTCCCAAATCTCTGGATAGAGCGGTAAACTGAAGGAACCAGAGGTCAAGTGATGAAAAGTGTGCAGGATAGAAAGAGTTTTGCCAGAACTTGCATTTACATAATTCAGGCAAGCCCTACCCCCAAGGAAACACCCTTTCAACTGATTGGCTGCTAATATTAGATACAAAATGGAAGATGATTTACCTAGACTCTGCTAAACCACTGAGAATCTAGCCTAACCAAGTTGACATATAACATTAACCTTCACATCGCCCTTGAGGGCAGTAAATCTACAATAATTAGTCGGGATTATTCTCGCTGTTGTTGTTAGGTGCCATCGAGTCAGTACCGACCCATAGCGACCTTATGCACAGCAGAACGAAACACTACCCAATCCTGGGTCAACCTCACTACTGTTGCCAAGCTTGAGTCCATCGATGCTGCCATGTGGCCAATCCATCTCTCTGGGGATCTTCCTCTTTTTCTCTG